TGTCTACAGACAGTTGTGGAAGTTTACAGGATGCTTTGCATTGCCATACCTGAGGCAACTGGCTCCCACATTGTTAAGCCTTCCATGAAGGAACTCACTTCAGGTGGACAGGCTCCGACTACCTTGGCCCAGACATTTATTAGCTCCCCAAGGCTTCTTCGCATAAAGAACGACAGTTGTGAAAGGTGCACTCTGCTGTGCCAGAACATCCTTGCAAGGGCCAAGGAAGTAATATTTGCAGTTGGGTTTGGTCGCAGCCTTCTGAAGGATGGTGGACAGCTTCCCACTGGATTAGAGGAAAGCACAACAGATTTGCCAGGTGACTATTTAAAAGAAACTCATCCTCTTGATTGGAAATACCTGCATCTATTGGGTCAGACACTGGCCATCCTTTGTGACCTGAAGGTTAGGTACTGTTGATGGCTAAGGATAGAATAAACTTGAAAGCTGCACACAGCCCTACATCCCCAGGTTCAGGAATAAACATTATGATGGACTTAAATTGCATTTGAGAACTTTTGCCAGGAGGGACCCACCTTACCAATGTGATCAATTACTGCCATACCTTTGACTCAGAATCTTAGTCCAAGCCCACTAAATGGATGGTCTTTTCCCTTTTGAAATTCTTTTTGGGTGTCCACCCTTTAGTCAAGGGTCGTGAGGGGCCTTATTTGGGAACATATGTGACCTCACACTGAGACAGCAGATACAGGGCCCTAGGGTTAACTCTCTCAAAAATCAATGTCTGGGTAAGGGAGACTCCTTGTTGCCTGACAACTCCCACACCACCCTTAATTAACCGGGGAGGCTGTTTTGGGTGAAGGACATGAATCTTCAATAGCTAAAGGCCCACTGGGAGGAGCCATTTTGTTGGTTGCCTGTGCCACTTCCATCATTAAAGTAGCAGAGACCATGCCCTGATCCACCACGCTGAGTGAAGCGGCCCAGCTTCCCTCAAATGGATTGTATCCCTGATCCAGTCTAACCATTCAAGTCACTGCTTTGAATGCCTGCACCCTTTCTTGACAGGACACCTTGCTTCCCATGAGACAGAGAGACCTTCAAAAGACGAGATGTAAATGACAAGATGTCAGCCCTGCTCTAATCATTCCAGAAGCTGACTAGTCTACACATGGCAGAAGCTTTAGGAGTTGCCCATCTCACCTTTGAGGATGAGTCCGTTCCGTATGTTATTCTTGCTAATCTTGTCAGATCTCTACCTGGGAACCCCCAGGCTTTGGACTGTGACTCATGTATACAACACAACCAAGTGGGGAGTTGCTATTCCAAACTCTGGGTTGATCACAATGCTTATTATTCCTGTGCAGGCACCATTGCTGGGTCATGCACCCACAGCCATACCACCTACTCGGTGTGCTTTCATGATGGTCAGTGTATCTGTTTTAACCCCATCTATTGCCCTCAGGAGCAATGGCTAAGGGTCCAAAGCTTCACCAGCTTGTTAACCACACATGTGTTAATGACCCCAACAAACCTGTGTCCATGTGAGGAAAGGATAAACAGAAAAAGGTGAGATGTCCTACAAATAGGGGACTGGAAGGATGATGAATGGCCTCCAGAGTGGATCATTCAAGTTATGGCCCTGGGGGCATATATAATAAAAGAAAAAAAAGATTCATAATGCTATGAAAAAAAAAAGTTATGGTCCCACTACATGGGCAGAAGATAGCTCTTGGGGCTATGGCCAATCTATATGCTCACCTGCTTCATTCGGCTTCAGGAAGTGGTTGAAATTATAACTAATGAAACAGCTAAAGCCCTCAACATACTAGCCAAACAACAATCTAAAATACGCAATGCCATCTTCCAAAACCATTTGGCTTTGGACCATTTGCTAGTCTGAGGGTGGAGTATGTGAAAATTCAGTCTGAGTAATTGCTATTTACAGATTGATGATGAGAGAAAAGTAATTGAAGAGATTACCGACAAGATGAAAAAAGTTGCCCTTGTCCCTGTGCAGACCTAGAAGGGATGGAGTCCCAATGACCTGTTTGGGGGCTGGTTCTCAACCCTAGGTGGGTTCAAGACCTTAAAAGGGGCAATGAACCTTGTCTTAGGAGCGTGCCTGATGTTACCCTGCCTGATCCTCCTGGTCCTGCGGACTTTCAGGATGGAAATATAAACCCCTAGATCAGGATGATGCTCTTTGACCCAAAGTGGGTCCAAGCATTAAAGGGGGGAATGTGGCAGGAAGGCAGGGAGGGGGAAGGGAGATAATGAGTGCTACAGTGAAACAAAACCTTGGGGAATGTTACCTGGAGACCAGAGGAGGGTCACCTTGCCCCCGAGGTTAAAGTGGCCAATGAAATAATGTGATTATGTATGGGACAAGCTGCACACCCCCCCCATTTCTGTAACCTGCTCTAAATGGTATATAAGGAAGGCCCTCTTTGTTCTTGGGGCTCAGCCTTTGGACTCGAGTCTGCAGAGTCACTGCTGGCCTGCTTAATAAACTTGCTTCCCAAAAGCTTTGGTGCCCTTTCTGTCCCTGTCTGAGCCCTCCCGCAACACTACCACTTGAGCCAAGACCCCAGCTTTTTTGTTTTTGCAATGTTGGAGGTTGAATCCAGTCTCTGGTGTGCTAGGCAAGCATTCTACCACTGACCTATGTTAGAAAATAAAGGAAAGGGTGGAATGGACAGGTGGGGAGATGGCTCATACACCAGCATAGGGTTTATTGTGGAGAAGTAGTTCTGTGGAGGGGGTCCCCAGTAAGAGGGCTGAGCCCCCAGCCACTTACAGACTGGGGGTATTTATGAGATGAGCGGGAAAATCCGCAATGGTCCTCTGACTCTCCCAAGATCATGGCTTAAGGGCAGGTCATTCTTTTTAGGCCAGGTGGGGAGTTTCTAGTAAATGGCTAAAGATGTCTACTTTTCTTTAGGGCCCTGGTGGAGAGTTTTCAGTAAGTCATCTTCAAGGGAGAGGGTGTACAGTTTTAACTTGACTTCCTTTTGTTCACCCTAACGATCCATATCCCCAGCCCCTATGATTTTTACATAATACTTTGTTCCCCCAAATATAGATCATATTTCATAACACTATCTAGTGAAGATAAGTTTTCTAGAGAGATTGTTTTCTAGAAAATTCAAGCAGCCCATAAGGTAAAAAAGACAGCAAAAGGTGGGACAGTAACCTACTGTATTTGTTGGTTTGCGCCACCATTTGTGCTGTATCACTATTATTATGAAAGCATTCAGTGCAACAGCATAACTTCCTTTTTTTGTTTTTAGCAGTACTGGAGTTTGAACTCAGGGCTTCATGCTTGCTAGGCAGGTCTCTACCACTTGAGCCACTCTGCTAGCCCCATAACTTCCTTTTTTAGAGTGTTCTTAAGATAGGATCTCCCTATGTAGCGCAGACTGGCCTACAACTTACAATCTTCAGTTCTCTGCCTCCTGAGTGCTAGGATCACATGCCTGGACCACTAAGCCTGACTCTCACAGTTTCCTTTTTGCATGTAGAAAGATCCATCAAGAGCTGACCAATCTCTGAAGATCAAGTTCACATTAACCCAGTTTAGGAGACTGAACAAAACAGAGTACTTATGTAAAATAAAATTATGGGAGGCCATTGTTTTGGACTAAGGTTTTACATTGGGCTCCAGCAGCCTGGAGACTACAAATCAAAATGGAGTCACTGATGATAAAGCCCAGTGTCCCTAAACCCAAACTAACTTGCTTATCTGACCTTCTTGAGTAACTAGGATTACAGGTATGAGCCACCAGTGCCTGGCTTTTATCTGACTTTTTGATAAATCCCAAAGACAAGAGACTAAAAAATCAAAACAGTCACTCATGATAAAGGTTAATGTTTCCAAACCCAAACTAACTTGTTTATGTGACCTGATAAATCAGGGTTAGAGAGATAACAGCCACATTTCCAAATAGGCCAGCTGCAGTCTATATGAGATGGGAATATCTCTGCTTTAATCCTTTTAGCTAGGTGGTATTTGTGGTGCTGGGGATATACCCCAAGACCTCAGGAGTACTAGTCCAAGTGTTCTACCATTGAGCTTACCCCCTCAGCTGTTTCTGCTTTCTTTCAGCCTTTTTTTTTTTTTCTTTCACTATAAGACCATTTGCTCATTGGAACACTTAATCTTTTGTCTGTAGTGGGGTTTGAACTCAGGGCCTCACACTTGCTAGGCAGATGCTCTACCACTTGAGTCACTCTGCCAGCCCTTGGAACATTTATTTTATGGAGTGAGGTGTTTCCAGATTAAAAGTCAAAAATAAAACCAGTCAAGGGTCTGGAGGATGCAGCTTAGTGGTAAAGCACTTGTCCAGCCTGTACAAGGCCTTGGGTTTGAAGGAACCCAGCACCAAACAAACAAAGGCAAAATTAAGATCTTTAAACTGTGTTAGGTGTCTATAATCTCTGTCTTCAGGAGTCTGAGACCTGCCTGGGCTACATAGCAAGGCTCTGTCTAAAAATTAAATAAGTAAAAAAAAAATACATATATGTATATATATGTATACATACATATATATATAAATTTTTGTAATTTTGTCCTTTGGCACTAAGTCATAATAAAAAGTTAAGTGGGAGCTGGGTGCCAGTGGCTCATGCCTTTAATCCTAGCTACTCAGGAGGCAGAGATCAGGAATTTAATGTTTTATAGTCCATAGTCTAATGCTTCTTTTAGAGTAGCTGGTTCTAAGTATATGTTTATATGTTAATTATTCTGTTTGGTCTGTCAGTGGCTTTCATTTTATACACTTTAGATTTTCTAGTCCATACTAAGGAAACATTAGTTAGCAGCTACATTTTAACTGCATATTTGATTACTGTAAGTTAGCAGTTCCCCAAAGATGGTCTCATCAGAATATAAATATGTTGGGAAGCTGGATGTGGTAGTACAAGCCTATAGTCCCAGTACGCCAGAGGCTGAGGCAGGAAGATCAATAGTTCAAGGCCAGCATGGGCTACGTAGTGAGACCCTATGTAAAAAAAAAAAAAAAAAAAGTCAAATCTTTTTATTTTAAAAAATTTATTGAAATTTTCATATTCTAAAATTAGGCATTCTAACCTTAGATTAAAACTTGTTTCCAAGTATATTTTCTCTTAAATCATCAAGGAAATGTATTTTCATAGAGTATGCTGAAAATTAGGAAAATCCAGGGTTCTGGTTCTGTCAGGGGCAGTATTTAGACTATTATTTTGATACAGTCCAGTTGCTCTGATGTAGTTTGAAAATTCTTGCTCCTTTGGAGTATAATTGCAGGGAAGAAACTGTGGCCTGGGTAAAAATTCACCATAATGACTTGAGTTGGTTTTGTACATAATCATCTGAGGTTTTGATAGTGAGGTAGTTGTACGGAGTATCTTTGGGTCCAACATACAGGAAAACACAGGATTACCAGGGTTCACACAAGGAGGCTGTTGTTCAGGTTTCATTTCTGTGTCTGAATTTGAAGCTGAAGTACTTTTCTTATCCTAAAAGATACACACATAAAAATCATTCTCACAAAGAAATACAGTTAAACTTATGCCCCTCACTCCTCCCTTTTTCAAACCCTGTTCTCTTTAGGTAGTTATTTTTGTTTGGCTTTTTGAGAAAGAGTCTTGCTGTATAGATCAGTCTGGTCTCGAACTCACAACTTCCTGCCACCACTCTCAGCTTAAGACATTTATTTATTTATTTTTGTGTTACTGGGGATTGAACCCAGGGCCTCAAGCATGCTAGGCAAGCTTTCTATTACTTGAGTCATGCCCTAGCCCTTTTGTTTGTATTTTGTTTTTGAGAAATAGTCTGGCTAATTTTGCCTAGGCTGGCCTTAAACTCTAGATCTTCCTGAGTAGCTGGATGATAGGTATGTGCCACCATACCTGTCTTGAAGTACTCATTTATTTTATTTGGTGGGATTGGGATTTGAACTCAGGAACTACACTTTGAGCCACTCCACCAGACCTTTATTTTTGTGATTGGATTTTTCGAGATAGGGGCTCCCAACCTGTTTGTCCTGGCTGGCTTCGAACCTCGATCCTCCTGATGTCTTTCCTGAGTAGCTAGGATTACAGGTGTGAGTGACCAGTCACGCCCAGAGAGATAGTCATTTAATTACCTGTTAAATGACTTTTATGCAGGCCAGGTGGGTGGCTTATGCCTAAATCCTAGCACATAGAGGGTCTTAAGTTCCAGGCCATCCTTGGTTGTTTATGAGGCTCTGTCTCAAAAAATCAAAAAACAAATCAACAAAAACAAACTTATTTGCACAGAGCAAACTTGTCAAAAGTATGCATAAATTAGGTTCTTTTTTGGCAGTACTAGGGTTTGAACTCAAGGCTTACACCTTGAGCCACTCCACCAGCCCTTTTTTTGTGAAGGATTTTTTTGAGACAGGATCTCTCCAACAGGCTGGCTTCAAACCTCAGTCCTCCTGATTATTGCCTCCTGAGTAGCTAGGATTACAGGCGTGAGCCACTGGTGCCCAGCCCAGATTTTTGTTTTTTTTTTTTTTTTTTTTAAGAGAAAGTCTTACCATGTGGCACAGACTGACTTGGAGTTCTTTTTGTAGCCCAGGGCAGCATCAAACTTATGATCCTCCTCTCTCTGCTTTGCATGTGCTAGGATGACAATATAAACCACCATAACTGGCACAAGTAATTTTTAAAACATTTTATGGTAGAACTATGAAAATTCATTAAAAATTTGTAGATCATAGGGGAAATCTAAATAAATAACTAAATCTAAATAAATAGTTGAAAAAGGAAGTACAATTTAATTTTGTGGAACAGCCATTAGCAAATAATAACACAATTAACTGAAGAAGTACAATTGTGGTAAGTTCTATGAACGAAAAAGAGATAGTTATGATGACATCTTGGGGGCTTTAACTATTGTGAAGGGCTAGGGAAGGCTATTTTGGTGAAGTTGCATTAAATCTAAAATAGGATTGGAAAGCCAGATAGGAAAAGACAGCTATAGGAACAAACAGAAAGGTAGTATGGCTAAAGTCAAGTTAGAATGAAGATGTTTTGAGGTGAGAATAGAGGGGTGGGAGCCAGATCATTTAAGGTCTTGACAACTATGTTAAAATTCTCATTTTAGGCTGGTGGAGTAGCTTAAGCAGTAAAAGCACCTGCCTAGCAAGTGTGAGGCCCTGAGTTCAAACCCCAGTGCTACCAAAAAAAAAAAAAAGAATTTTAGCAGGATGTTTTCGTACACATCTGTAATCCCAGCATTTGGGAGGCTGATGAGGAAAGATCGCTAGTTTGAGGATAGCATGGGCTACATAATGAGATCTTGTCTCAATTTTTTAAAAAAATGTTCATCCTAAATGCAATGGGAAGCTACTGAAGAGTTTTAAGGAGAGCCATGCCATGGTGTAAAGTAACTTTTCGTAATTACTAACATTACTAAACTTAGAAATGTTACTTTGACTTCTGTTAGGGCTGTGTGCCTATGCAGAGGAACTGCAGTGGGCCATGTGACTGATGACAATTTCTAAGTTCAGTGGGTGACCCAGTGTGTGCATGGGAGGGATGATAACATGTTTCAGAAGGAGAATTCACAGGGCCTGGTGACAGATTGGTGTGTAGGAGGAAGAGGACCAATTTAGGACGACTCCCAGGATTCTGGACAAACATTTCACTGAGTTCATCCTCAGCCCCATTTGTTGCAATTTAATATATAAATGAAGTATATATTGGTAACATTTAATAAATACTTAAAATATAAATAAGTCATTTGAAGAGGGAGGGAGGGAGATCTTAAAAACAATGGATGTGAGCCAGGTTTTGTCGTGCACACTGTCACCCCAGCACTCAGGAGGTTGAGGCAGGATTGTGACTTCTAGGCTAGTGTGGGGTTACATAGTGAGACTCTGTCTCAAAAAAAAAGGAAAATGATAAAACACTGTAACTCTAATGATGCAAAGGTAGCTAACATACTATTCTTTTTTTTTTTCCTCTTAATTTTTGGTGATACTTGGGTTTGAACTTTGTGCCTCACACTTGCTAGGCAGGCACTCTACCCACCATGTGAGCCATTCTGCCAGCTCAGTAATTTTTAAAAATGTAAATGAAGACCTGAGGAGGTTTTCTGATTTATTTTGACATTGAAACAGCATTTTGCATTGACAATGACTAGGTAAATAAATACAAATGCATTTTTAAAATTGAATGAAAGGCATCAAAAATTTTAAAAATGTCATGATTTTGAATCCGGAATTTTTAGTTTGGGATTACACCATAAGAAACTCGTTCTAGGGCTGGGGGCAGGCCTCAAGTGGTAGAGCACTTCCTTAGCACACGAGAGGCCCTGGGCTCAGTCCCTAGAACAGCAGAGAAACTCCAGGGTTGGAAAAAATGTTAATGCACAGTAATACTTAGAAAAGATCTGACATGTACACTGATTATTGATACTGTGGAAAATACTAATGAAAATACTTTACAGTTAAGATTCTTCCTCAACCTTACATTGGTCTAAGATAATTTTTTTTGTGTGTGGTGCTGGGGTTTGAACTTGGGGCCTACATCTTGAGCTACTCCACCAGCCCTTTTTTGTGATGGGGTTTTTTGAGATAGGATCTAACTAACTGTCCAAGATGGCTTTGAACCGAGGTCCTCCTGAGTAGTTAGGATTACAGGCATAAACTGAAGGACAGAATGCAGGAGGTCAAGGAGACACTTCTCCTCCCTAGGAAACGCCTGTTTGCATCTGAAAGGCATCCCCGCCATCAGGCAATGCAAAAAGGCTATAAAACCCCACTCTCCACCCGGTTTTGGGTCCCCTGCATTCCTCAATATGCAGTTTTTCTCTTTTTTCCAACTAAATTCTCTACAAATAATATCTTTCCAACCTCTTCTGTTAGAGTCTGCCTGTGCTTTCATTCTCAGAGCAGGCTCAAGAACCCTGAGCACCTGAAATTCCTGCGCGTGTCATCCACTGGCACCTGGCTAATCCCAGCATTTTAGAAACTGAGGAAGGAGGATTTTGAGTTCTAGGTCAGCCTGGGTTACAAAGCAAGACTCTGTCTCAAAAATCAATAATAAATCTGTATCTATCTATATGCATACATGAATAATAGTTTATATTATATTTAATTGTGTTTTAAATCCTCTTGGGCCTGGTTATAATTCTTAAGTATAGAGGGTGTTACTGTTACCCTAAGTACTGCCTAGGTGACCTAGCTGAGTTTCTACCCTGCCCTAATCTTGTTTACTTTTCAGGGCAGGATGCCTGTAGGCCATAAATTCTTCAGGTGGGCTAGTTGAAAGTGGTTGGATCTAAGCCCCATCTCCATTATCATCCCATCTGAATGGTAACCAACATACCCTCCAGTGCCATGACAGATGACAAATTGTGACCACTGGGAAGAACCATATAGAAAGAAAACAGGTTGTGCCCAGATTCCCGGAATGTCTCACCCATTCCCTAAAATTTAATATTCCTCCCTTTTCTCACCCTATCCCCCACCCCTCATTTCTTTTACTTTACAAGGTTAAGAAATCCATTATCTCTCTCTTCTGTTTTTTGCCAGAATAGGTCTCCCCTGCTCAATTGGTGCCAGGTGGTCTTCTTTTTTTTCAATACTGGGGCTTGAACTCAGGGCCTACACCTTGACCCACTCCATAGGCCCTGTTTAGTTTAGGGTAATTTCCAGATAAGATCTCATGAGCTGTTTGCCTGGGCAGGCTTTGAACTGCAATCTTCCTGATCTCTGCCTCCTGAGTAGTTAGGATTACAGAAGTGAGCCACAGGAGCCTGGCTTGGGCCTTCTTATTGGTTCCACAATTCTGAAAGGGGAAGGGCCCAGATTGAGGGCAAACACTGGTAACATTATGAATTGAAATGAATCTGAGCTAAAATGTCCCCATACAAACATTCCTAAAGGCCAAATTGTTTATTTAAGAGTAAGAAAATCATATTTAATGTGCTCTTCAGTCAACTATTAATATTTTTTTAAAACTCTGGAACACTTCATGAATTTTCGTATCATCCTTGTGCAAGGACTACGCTAATCTTCTCTGTATCTTTCTAATTTTAGTATGTGTGCTGCCAAAGCAAGCACAAATATGAATATTGTTCTTGACAATTTTCCCTAATAAACTTGGTTTTTTTGAGAGTTGAACTCCCAATCCTCCTGCCTCAACCTCCCCAGCGCTGGGATTATGGATGTGAGCTACCACACCTGGCTGTTAGATTTCTTTTGTTAACGCCATAGAATTATAAAATTTATAAACGTGTATCGTTTGCAAATCAGGCAGTGTAATAGTGCGGTATGCTGTTGTGAACTGATGTTCTCTAAAGTAGCCACATGTGTGTTGAAAATCCTGCCTGGGTGGTCACCCAGGTGGTCACCTGAGAACGGTCACCTTGGGCTGTCTTCAGGCCCTGTTAGTAGCCATTTACTAACATCCTTGTGACTGTTAGGTCAACATTCTGGAACATATTGCTAAACCTAGCTGATTTCTAGTTTCCACCAGCTCTAAAGCTAAGGCTGTTACAACATCTGAAACCTGTATAAGAGATTTCCCTGCTCTTCTGAAACCGGCCTGCCTCATTATCCCCACCAATGTGTTCAGTAAGTACATTGATTCAGGACTTTGTTTTGTCTTGTGATTGTAAAAGCTAGGTAACCAGAATTCATGTTCCCCACCTTGCTCGCTCCTATTTGGCTCAGAATACACTATCTGTTACTTCCTTTGGAGCAAGTGCTGTGTCTTGGGTCAACCTGATAATCAAAAAGCAAAGGGAAGGAGTTAAAGTGGCTGCTTCCACTGGAAATGTCCTTGGCAAGGTTACTTCTGCTCTCTTTGCACTCTAAATTCTAAAGAGCAGCAGCACCTAAATGATTAAAATGCTAATTGCTTTCTGCAGATTTACACACCAGGACATCTGGTGACCTTCAGATTACATCAGAAAATGCAACACTTTATTGTTTAGTTCTGCCCATCAGCTAACACAAAGCATATAAATTGCTGTGAGGTTTAACTTGCCCAGTGTTTGTTTGTCTAAGGAACACAGGAACTGGCTCCAGGAAGTTAGGTTCATTGCAGGGTGCCAGCCAGAGAAAAAAACGAGACATGCCCTGGGTGTCAAGACCACATAGCCTTCCTTGCTCTTTGTCCCCTGTTCCTCCTTTCCCTCCCTATGAAAGTCATCTGTGCTACAAAATTCCCTAAAATGGGGTTCTGAGGCAATCCCCTCTACCCTCATTTTCTCAAGATGCCAGCCCTTGGGTGAGTAGCTAGACCTGGGGCTGATGACAAAGGACTATTATATTTTATTTATTCATTTTTTGATTCAGAGGTTAGAACTAAGGCTTCTTTGAACTAGGCACTCTACCACTTGAGCCACACCCAACTTTTTTTTTTTTTGACAGGGTCTTGGGGTCCTCTTGCCTTAAACCTCCAGAGTGCTGGGATTAGGGATTACAGATGTGAACCACCATTCTGGGATACTTTTACTTTTGACCGATTTTTGAGTCACTTGCTGACTTTTGAGAATTCAATCCAAGAATGCTTGTTTTCCTTTCTTTCTTGGTAGGGATTGAACTCTAGCATGTTAAGCACCTACGCTACCACTGACTACACCCTCAACTCCACTACACCCCTATTTGCTGTGTTATGCCCCAAGGAGAACGCTGTCTTCTTGTTCTAGTACCCCTGCATAGGTATTAGAAATGAAATTGCTAGTCTCTGTCTCTTTCTTTTTTTGGTGGGGGCAGTACTGGGGATTATACTAAGGGCTTAGCAAGTACAGGCACTATGTCACTGCCATAATATAGTCTTATTTTTTCCCTACTTTCTAGGTTACTATTCATTGTTTCAAAAGCTGACGTTGTAACTTACAAATGTTATACATATTCAAATATCATTCTATTGTTTTGGTATCCTGAGCTGTTTGCTTTAGAAAGAAATCTCCCGACTGTTCAGTGCTTAGGAACAAGGCCATGATTTTATATCTATCTACTTTGAACCCTTAGCAGATGGGGACCTTTAAGATCCATTTCATTCTTTGACCTTGGTAATCAAAAACAAACTCTAAGCAGTGCTTCACTATCTACTAACATAAAGCTTTTTGAATTTCAAATTTGGTTTGGGTTGGATTAGCCATGTTCCCTTTATTTTATTTTAGGTTTATTTTTGGTGACTGTTTTTGAGACAAGGTCTCTCTATGTAGCCTAAGCTAGCCCTGAATACAGAATCTTCCTGCCTTAGTCTCCTACTGTTGGGATTACAGGTGTGCCCCACTATGCCCAGCTAGCCAGGTTCCTTTTAGCATAGGCCAGTTCACTCTGAATTCCTTGGGTATTTTAATTAGCATCTCAGCAAAAATAAATTTTGGAATATGAAGTTTAAATCTGCAACTTCCCTTTTTTGGTGCTTGTTTTGGTTGGTTATGAAAAGGCTAGAGTAGCACAAGGCAGAAACCGTGGCCTAGATTCTAACTTTTTATCATTTTCACCTTTGTTTATCATCTGTAAAGGTGGCTTAAAAAACCTGCTCTAATTTCTATGCTTGTGGAAATAAAAGGAAAACTGAATGTAAACATTAAATTGCCAGACAAATGGAATCAATTTTTACCTGAAGGCATATGTGTGATATTCCGGAATTCAATTCTGAAAGTTCTATGTCAATAACACTGTAAAGTAGTACGCTACAGTTTATTAATATTCATCTGATGCTCAGAAATGTGCAGGCAGCTGGCACAGCTGGAAGTAGAACTCAGGTTTCCTAAACTTCAAATCAATGTTAACTCTCTTTGTATCTTGTTTATTCTTTTTTTCACTGCTTAAATGTCAAGAGTGCACACATGGTGAAATAATCAGTCACCAAAACCCAAAGATGCTGACCATAATCTCAACAGTATAGATGTTCTCAAAATGCCTCGTTTTCCTCAGCACAGGGAAAGCTTCAAAGTGGCTGCCCACCATAATTTATGTGTAACTCAGGCTAGCCTCACACTCATGGTTATCCTGCTTCAGCTTCCTGAGTGCTGGGAGTATAGGCACGAGCCAGTAGGCCCAGCCAGGTCATGGATTTTACATTTGTTCTATCTACTTTAATCACAGGGTAGCTTTTGTCTTAGCAAATCATCTTTTTTTGAACTGGCTCAAAATGTAATACAAAAAAAATCTACTCAGTAGAAGACTAATCACTTAATAAACTTTGAGGGCATAACAGGTGTCACAAAATCTGGAAAAGTAGTGTCTACTTAATATTACAGAGCTCCATGATAATTCACAAATGTTTATAGAATCAAAACCAAAATACCCTATTGTTTTTACTTTACCTCACAGGCCCTCAAGGCTGCTTTCTTATTTGGATTTTACATTCTTCAAATCTGTATTTTAAAAGTGAATTTCAATTTGATACAATTAAAAACAAAACAAAGGTGTTGGGCTGTGGCTTATGTGTAGAGCAAGCAAGCTCCAGGCCATGATTTCGACCCTAGGACAAAACAAAAACAGAAATGCAAAGAATAAAAGCCTCACTTTTTTTTTTTTTTTTGCTGTACTGGTGCTTGAACTCAGGGCCTACACTTGAGCCACTCCACCTGCCCTTTTTGTGATGGGCTTCTTTTGAGATAGGGTCTTTCCAACTATTTGCCTGGGCTGGCTTCAATCCTCCGGATCTCTGCCTCTTGAGTAGCTAGGATTATAGGTGTGAGCTGCTGGCGCCTGGTTTAAAAGGCTCACTTTAAAATTTTTCTGCATATTCTGTTAGCAGCTGTTAGCTCCTGAAGGATGGAGAGTTAATTAAAATGTAAATGAAGCTGGGGGCCGATGGCTAGCTGTTCCGGCCCTCACAACTTCCTAGCTGTATCATTTGAGTCATGCCTCTAGCCCAAGAGTTGAAATCAATATTAGTCTGTGAAAGTACCTTAAAAACTAAAATCTTTAAGTAGTATTAGTGGCCTTTTTTTTTTTTTTTTTGAGACAGGTAGCTCTAAGGCTCAGGATGGCTTCAAAATCATGGGCGTGAACCATGCTGCCTTTTAACACTTTGCCACAGTTTGGGGGCAGAATTAAGCTTTAATTTTATCATTGTTTCCATTAACTGGTACAAGCGCACCCTGTTTTTCTTTTACTTCACATCCTCTTTTGGACAAAGACAATGTAATGTAGTATTAATTATGTACAGGGCTGGGGTGTAGCTCAAGTGGAAAAGCGCTTTGTCTACAAGTCCGGGAGTCGATCCCCAGCAACGCAAAGAATACAATGAAACTCACGTACGCTTGTTTGTTTAAACCATCACTGAGAGTTTGCAGTGGGTGAAGGTGCCTACCATCCCAATCTTCTACACTGCAGAACAATAATGACTAATAGTGCATTTGCATTAAAAAATGTAAAAGTTCCTAGAAAAATGTACTTTTGGGGTGGGGTGGGTGGGGTAGGTGCTGCCTCAAATTTTATCAAAGATTACGAACATTCACAAACATTTAACCCTTTGCCCAAACCCACCCAATCGTGGTCCGTCATTGTCGCTCTTCTTCGGTAATTTCTTCGGCAAACGTAGTTTTCTCCTGAAGAGGATGGCAAGAGTCCAGCAAGGGTCTTTGAAATTCACCCAATGAAGCAGCAAAGCGAGGATGAATCCTTCGGTGGTTCGTGAGGTGGAAACCGTGGATCTTTTCTAGTGGTTACAATCAGTCTCCATAGCAACTGGCCGCGGCGCAGGAGCCCGGATGTTGTGAGTTGCGGTGTTCGCCCCACCCAGGTTCCTGCAGTCTCCCTGCGCTCATCCTCGGGAGTCGTAGTTCTTTCCTCCGTAGCCACGCCGGAAGGAGACGCAGACGGAACTACAGTTCCCGACATGCACTGCGTTCCCCCCTGCCCCGCCAACCGCTGCCGCTTCCCGGCCTTGGACGCCTGCGAGCAGGTTGTTGTTTTTCATGAGAGGCGTCACTGGCCCCCGGAGCGGTGACCGCCGGCGTCGTGACAGCTAGCGCCGTCGGGTGGAGGTGGCGCTGCCCGGTCAGGTAAGAGCTTGGACTCCGGGAGGGGGCTCAGGGCGGGCCGTGGGCACTGCGGCCGCCACGCTGGACTCCGCCGCCCCGCGGGCAGAGGGGCGGTCGCGCTCTCCCGCGAGTGGGCTTTCGGACTCTGCGGCTCCCTGCGCGCGGCAGCTCGGCGACCTTCCCCGGCCGGCAGTGCGCGGCCCAAGCCGACCCCGGGCGTCGGTGGGTCTTAGGGCCTTGCAGCCTCCGACCCCTGCCCGTCTACAGCCCCATCCGTGCGCCAGGCGTCGGGGAGCCGACGGCCCAGGGAACCCTGTTTTACCTCGGAACCCTCTTTTCCTTCGGTACTTGAGGGGATTCGCGGTACCGACCGACGGGGAATCCATATGGTAAGCGCTGATGTACGTCATCCCCCCCTCCCGTTTCGGTGACGTTTGAGCCCTGTGATGCCAGGAATAGAAAGATTACATGTGGAATAATGCAGCGGAGATTTCTGATGATCAAATCCCCTTCTGTACCCTCTAGCGCCGGTCTTCCTAATGGCTATGTCCCCAGTGGCGACTGTCCCACGCAATGTCTTGTGCGCGTTACATGTTTACTTTAATTTATCCCAGTCCTCTGCCATTGGGCGCGCCAATTTTAATTTTAAGGAATTCAATCAATCAAGGTATTTTGTTGGGTGTGTGAAACTTGCACTGACCTGCTCGAGCTCTATTTAAGAATATGTGTGTGTGTGTGTATGTATATATATATATACATATATATATATATATATACACATACACACACAACACACACACACAGAGACAGAGAGAAGAAACTGAATGGTGTTTTCTTGGGAGCTTGGATAGGTAGCTGCTTCAGTACTGCGAATTGTAGAAGGGGACTTGCTTCTTCCATAAGGTCACAGCTACTGGATAGTGCGTGAACTGCCACGATTACCGCATCATGTCTTGACTTAAGGTTTGAACTTTGGTAGGCCTGACCTTTCCCAGCGCGGATATTTGTCACGTAGAGTGAATGTGTCTACTCGTCTTCCTGAGTTCAGGTCACTGGAAGGAACCGGGAGAGTAGAAGGTGTTAATGAGTTTAGCCCTTTTACTTTAAGGTGAATTCTAGTCAAAGAACCCATTGAGCCAGGTGAGGTACACGCCTGTAATGCCAGCTACTGGGGAGGCTGAGGCAGAAGTATCTCAAGTTTGAGGCCAGGCCTGGACAATTCAGCAGACCCTGTCTTAAATTTGTATTAAAAAGAGTGCTTGCCTACCCCATTTGGGGCCCCTGGGTTCAATCCAAGTACCACCAAAATTAAAACAAAAACTAGAATCGATTTGGTGTACAGGCCATAAGAGTAGGTGATTGATTTCTTTTTTTTTAGGTGATTATATTTCTATTGGAAGTAAGGCTCAAAGGGTACTTAACAAAAAAAAAACTTTTCTAGTATGTTAAACTATAAGTTTGTTCCAATACTATACTGTAATTTCCAAATGTTGAAAAAAAACTTTTAAAACCTTATGAAATCTCTAAATACTGTTTTTGTAAGTGACTTGATTTTTTTTTTTTTGGGGGGTGGGCCTGGGGCTTGAATTTAGGGCTTTGCAATTTGCAAAGCATGCACTCTACCATTAGCCACATCTCCAGTCCTTGAAGTGAATGACAACAAAAAAACAGTACTTGTGCTGAATCCACAATGTGAATGTAAATGTAAATATTTTGAGAAAAGGGACCAGAAGTGAATTAGTTGACATACAAAGAATAAAAAAAATTAGGCTTAGCATGAGTGCATCTCATCTTTTGATCTATTCACCTTGTGCAGTAAAATCAGACAGACATGCATAACCTTTCTTAAGACTGGGGCAATCTTGGTTATTTCTGTAAAACCATCATTGTAACACAAGATTGTACCTGCTGAAGAGATCTGGATGTAGTATAATTTCTTATTTGTAAGCATTTGCCAGTGAAAATAAAGTTTTGTTCTTCCTTTTTTTGCTTACTGGGGATTGAACCCAGGGTCTTCCACTTGCTAGTGAAGGGCTCTAGCCCTCGAGCTATGGTAACCACCCTTTTTGTCTTTGTTTTTGAGATAGGATCTCCTTAACTGCGCGAAGGCTGGCTTCCAACTCTTGATCCTCTTTCCTCAGCCTTCCAAGTAGCTTGGAATTATAGGGTCCACTATACCTGGCTTGATGGAATAATACCAGGCATTTTAAGCTGGTTAACCTTGAATCACTTTGCGTACTCTATTTTATATGCTTGATGTTTTTGGACTGTTTTGTTTTATTGTCTATTACTTTTATATTGGATGGGACAGATAAGTTACGTTATTAGCCACAATTTTTTTTTTTTTTTTTTTTTTTTTTTTGCAGTATGGGGTTTTGAACTTAGGACCTTCATGCTCATTAGGCGGACGCCTTTACTGGTTCAGCCACTCCATGACCTTAGCCTACTTCTTTTTTTTTTTTTGGTGCTACTGGGGTTTGAGCTCCGCCTCATACTTGCTAGGCAAACACACAAACCTCAAAAAAAAAAAAAAAAAAAAAAAAACACAAAAACTCTTGAGATATGCCTCCAGCCCCCATGTTTGTTTTAAAGGACTACATTGTTCTTTTATAGGAATATTTGTGTGCATTTTTGCTATCATCAACCTTAGAAAATTTGAGATTTACTCAATCCCAAGTGTCCATTAATTTATTATTATTTTGGTGGCACTGGGAGTTGAACTCAGGGCCTTGGGCTTGCTAAACAGGTGCTTACCACTTAAGCACACTCCCAGCCCAAATGATCTATTTTTTTTTCAGACAATAGTATTCATGTTTTATTTTCTTAAGTTGTCTTCTTTGGAGGTGCTGTCTCCAGATTTCAATTTCTTTTCAATATTTCCTACCTTTATAGTTCTATAGTATGATGTATTCTTGTCAGTTTAAAGGTTTTTAAAAATTAAGTGTGAGCTGCAAACATAAAAAGAATAGTTTCTAAAAATGTTAAGAACATGAACAACATCATCAAGTCTCCTCCCACCCCCCCAGTATTTAAAATAGAAAATTCAGACTCATCTAACAGTAAGAACCACTATAGGCCAAATTGTTTTTGTGTGGTTAAGGTGAGGAATTGCTTATTCTAAGTGATAAACTGTTTTTCAAGAACTTTCTTTCTGGCAGTTCTGCATATTTGACTAGATTAAAACAGCTACAAATATAAGTTGGTTTCAGGGGGTCTTTTCCACTGTTCTTACACAAAAAAACTTGGTCAAAATCATCTATCAACTTGAGTATAAAAGGCAAGTTAGCCCTGTAATGTGTGAAGGATTGAATGTAAGTAATACATAATAATTTTCTTTTCTTTCTTTTTTTCTTCCTGGACTGAGGTTTTGAACTCAGGGCGCTTACTTGCAAAGTTAGAGCTCTATTGCTTGAGCCATACCACCAGTCCATTTTGCTCTGGTTATTTTGAAGATGGAGGCCCAGCTGGCCTTAAACCTCTATCCTCCTGATCTCAGCCTCCCAAGTAGCTAGATTATAGGTGTGAGCCACCAGTGTCCACATATAGGGGGGAAAAAAAAGGAATTTAATGTGTGGAATGCGGTTGAAGACCCCACAGCGTTTTCAGTATAAGTATAAGAAAATAACACAAGTTAAAGATTTTCCTCTTTTCATCACAGGAAGCCAAAAACCTAATTTTTATCCAGTACTTATCCATAAGCCATTGTCCTTCAAACTCTTTGCCAGCATAGTGAAATGTAAAAGTGTGTGGAATGGGAATCCCAATATTTAATGATGCTGAGCAGGTAGTTTTTTTTTTTTTTTTTTAATGTCTGTTTGTTTCCATTTGCAATAGCCAGTTGCCTTCCTGGGATATTTGTGAAGATTGAAATCAGATATGCAAATGAAATCACTTTGGAGGTGGCGGGATGATCTACCTACTAAAAGTGTTTTTGGCTTGCTTAAGGGCATTTTTCATAAAGCACATATATGCATTTGAAGTATGAACCTGTGATGGGATACATACTTTTCATGGAGAAGGTTGATGAAAAAATGTTAATCAGGTTTCATCTGATTTCTTGATAGCCCTGATAACATCTTCTTATCTGGTTTCTCTCATAACTTTGACTGTGCATGCTACTGCATGCAACAGCCCTGAAACAATAATGTACTTCTGTGGTTGGGCCTTTAATTTTTGTCTTAATCTCACATTTAAAGGTAAAAGAGAGATCATTACTCTTATTTAACAGGAAGTGTCTGTGTTTTTTAAGTTCTAAAGTGGAACTTTTAAGTTAATTTCATGAGCAGTGAGGCTACCTTAAATATGAAATCCCAGGTCCTCTTGAGAGATATTTAGTGTGTGTAAAAGCAGTGGAGTTTACATGTCTCCTTCTGGGAAATTAATCCTTGGCCATTACAGTATCTGACTATTTGAGATTAACTTCAAGTTAGGTGACATAGAACATTCACTTTAAAAACAGTCTTAGAAATTTATAAATATATTTAAGGACATTGTCAGAGTTAATATAGGTAAGTGATAGTGAAAGGCAAACAAATACGTAAGCTGGGCTCACACCTGTAATCCTAGCTACTCAGGAGGCAGAGATCAGGAGGATTGCCATTGAAAGCTAGCCCGGACAAAATAGTTCTCAAGAACCTAGCTCCAACAAACCCTTCCCAAAAAAAGGGCTGTGGAGTGGCTCAAGGTGTAGGCCCTGAGTACAAACCCTGGTACTGCAAAAGAAAAAAAAAAGAAAACCACATAAAATGGACCATTATAAACTAATTATTATAAAATTAATTGGTAACTCAAATAACATCTTTATTCACTACTGTTATTACTAGAAAGTAACAAATAGTGCATTGTATTCTGTAATCATGTACACAAACTTCAACAAATGGAGCATCATAAAAATGTATAAATACCTTTAGTTTTAGCTTTCCTTCTTGAATAGAAGGTATTGTAAGAAAATTAGAGCAAATTATCCTTTTGTTAAAGGGTGTTTGAAATAAAAAAATAGGTATTTAAGGAATATATATTTTTAGCCCGTTAAGAACAATAGCAGGGGCTGAGGATGTAGCTCAGTGGTTTGTTTGTGTAACATGCACTGAGTCCTGAGTTTTATCCCCATATCCCCAGTAAAGAAAAAATAAAAATAAAAAATAAATAATTGAGAATAGAAAAAAACCAAAAAGTCAGATCCCAGGAGTTTTACTTACTTCTTTTAAAAGGGAAAGAGGCCACCAGGGACTTACAGTAGTATCCAGGTAATGCCAGAATATAGCGATCCAGTCTTCTAATATCTGATAGCCCTTTCAGGTGTTTTCTTGGAGAAACTAATGAAAGGAGTATTAGCAAGTATCTTGACTTTTCCTTCAACGTTTTGAATTCATATCATTCATTCACTTTA